CTCGCCCTTCCCCCTTGTAGTCTGACGATTGTCCTCCTCTCGCTCTCCTGCTTCTGTCTCTCCTTCATCCCTTGAGTTTTAAGCGAATACGTGAACAGCGCCAGTTCCCTCGCCCGTGGATAGAGCCGTCGCGAAGTTTTGCCTCCTGGTGATAACGGGAAAATAGGAAAAACAAAGAAAATCGTGGAAATTAACTGCCAGTCTAATGTCAGTGTGATTTGAGATAAGGGAGCCGGAGAAAAAGATATAAAGATAAGCGGGTGAAGACAGACTGATCAAAATATATCAATATAAAGGATGGAAGAGAGCGAGACATTATCATATCATTGCTATGAAATATCAAACAGTGGTAGATGCCCTAAGGAAATAATTTTTAAATCACCAGTTCTTTAGGAAAATACATAAACTGAAAGAGATTAGTTATCATTAACGTATGTATTGTTATTTGAATGAATAAAGTTTGTGCCAATTTAGTGTCCAGAGAATTATATTTTGATAACTGGGGAGGCGAAGAGTGTTTACAAGAATAATAAATGACCAACAGGAATATAAAGACGATTAATTGTTGTTTTAGTAAATCGTAATACTAACCAAATATTGATAGAACCAAGATGCCTGGAAATAACATGCAGTGTAATAGTTGGTCTCCGTGTTGATACCAGACTCTCATTTTGCAAGTGCCCTGAAGCTGGTGAAATATTGTGGTTTGGCTAATTGTTAATGAATATCATTAGTTCGGTACCTCATGCATGGCCAAAATAGGCCAAGAAAAACTTTCGGTGCAGCCACGGAGGAAACAGTGGTGATGCTGTCTTAGCTGACTTCTCTGTGGCTCCCTGAGCAACTCCAGCACAGACACAAATTCGTTGTGTTCAAAGCCAGTACTGGGACCATACATGTATGACTGGAAGGCGCCTCACACTGCCGCCCCAGGGGCTCCGGTACCCTCGCGGGGGTGCTGTGCAGCCACCTGCTACCCCCACCATCAGCCCGGGAGTGGAATACTTTCTTGCAAGATCCTTGCGGACAACAGTAAGCGCTCGAACCTCCTGTTTCTCTCTGACGCTCGCGGCGTTGTTTTTCTTGATGCTCGCTTTGTCCCCGGGTGTGAAGGCAGTGGTCGGGGTCGCGACAAGCCCCTCGTTGGCTGTACCAGTTGCTCAAGACGTTCACTTTGGCAGGGACCACAATTTCCGCCCACAACAAAGCCATGTGTCGTCGAGGACGCACCATGCCCAGGCCTCCTCGCCCCCTCGCCCGCCCTCACACGAAACCAACTCCAAGCAGACAGGCCCGAGTGCGGTGTCAAACGCGGTCACCAGAAACCCAGCAGATGTGTGGTCTACTTCCCATCGAACGGCCGCCCAAGCGAATGCAGGCGGGCCCTCCACGTCCTCCTCTCTTCCCGTGCTGGAGCCTCATCCTCGGGACCAGACATCCTTCGCAGGCTCTCGTCAGCAGTGGGGAGAAAGTGGACCTATAGCATCGCCGCTGACTCATTCATTAGTGGGGGAATTAGATAGTGGGGAAGAGTGTGTACCCTGCCATTATGCTATGTATAAATATCCTTCGGGGAAAAGTTACGGCAGTAGAGGCAAGTATGTCACCTCGTCAGACCGTCTCGAGGCGCCCCGACACACGTTTATCGACAGTGATGGATTCAGAGGGAAAGCGTCGGCCGGAACAAACCCGCACAACAGACTGAATTCAAACCATCTCGGAGAGGATGTAAAATTCAGTCCCAAGGGTCTGCATGGCGGGGACCGACCCAATATCTGGTCATCCCAAAGCGGCCAGAAGTCACAGAACCTCCAGGATGAAAATCTCTGGCCATTCCTTCCCGGCACCCAAGCGTTTGGGAACCATAGAGACAAGATAAAGCTTAATCTCGACTCGGATGAAACGCGTGAGGATGCAAGGGAAGGACTCCATATAAAAGCGGCAGCGGCGTCCAATTTTTATCATTACACGAACGCGAAAACTTCCAGAAAATCTCGGCAGCGAAAAGCGCCATCCAAACTAATTTACACCCGGGATATGAGACGTGATTCACGGCTCAACGAATCCCCATACCGCCCCGCTTTAACGTCCCCCACACTCACGAAAAAGGGCGCGCATCGCTCGCCAGAGGACGGGTCGTCGTCCAGGAACAGGAACAGCGAATTTCTGGTCGAGTTCGGACTGGGTCAGACGGAGGGGAGGAGGAAGGAGGAGGAGGAGGAGGGAGAGGATTCGCTGTGGAGCAACGGCATGGGGCAGGCCGAGGGGGTCGTCCTTGATAACGACAACGACGACCGTAATGACCAGGAGAAGTTCCAAGCTAGGGATAGGGATTCAGTGCAATCGGGACTCCGAAACGAAGGAGGATTTCCCCCAAGAGACAGCTTAGTGAGCGGTGGAGAAAGAACGACCAGATTTAAGGAGGCGAAGCACCCACTGGTTACTGATTACGGCCGTATAAACTTCGGAAGATCGTTGCGCTACCGGAGGGAACGTACAG